CCTCAACACCTCGGCTGCGCCTAGAAATTCTGTCCATGAAAGTAATGAACAGAATCGGTGACAAAGGGCATTTCATTTTCATTCTGTTTAATATTCAACAAGTTGAACAGATAATCCACCCTAACCCCGCTACTTGGTATCGGTATCGGTATCGGTATCGGCGAGTACCTAAACTGAAGTACTCGTACTTGTACTCAGTCTTGAAAAAACTGGTATCGGGACACCCCTAATGTGCTCTCTTTGAGTGACGACAAATAATTGCACAATCAAACAGTTTGTTGGGAATGGTATCAAAATGAGTCATATTTCTAACAGGAGCCCATAAGGAGCTTAACTTTGCCAAAAAGAAAAAAATAAATATGTAATACAGTGACAAACAAAGAGCTTTTCGTTTTAGCTCAAAACACTGCAAAATACAAAGTCTTGCCATGTGCTCTCTTACACAGGTATGACAACCTTCATTTATGCAAGCAGAGGAAGTCTTTGTTTAATCTAAATAAACACTTTTATAGCACATTTTATTGTGCTGTCACACTGGCCTGTTTCTCCTCGAGTCTGTTGTTTGCAGCTCTACAGACTCGCAGCGAAGTGATTCATCACAGGTGGGTGGGGAGTTAACAAATGTCACACCGATAAGGCTTTCACTTGTGTCTGTGAGCGCGTGCAGACGGTTGTGTCTTTACCTCGGCCATGTTGGAATTGCATCTTCTCCTCATCGGGGTCCTGCTTGGCTTTGATGTATCCACAGTGTCTGAAAAAAATTGGATTGGGATGCTGTAAAGTGCTGAGTGTGAAATTATACGTATATTAATGACACTTCAGAGACTAATGTATGCAGACATAATAAATGACACTGTGAGCAGAAGTTTAAATGACTGTATTCCTGTAGCGAGCATGAGGAATCTGATACATTTGCAACATAAATCTGCTCCAAAAATACCTACCAATCAGTGCAGTGTCTATGAGACAACTACATATCTTATTTTGAAAATCATTTTAGTTTCAGCACTGTTTGCTTGTCTAATGGGGAATGTGTACAGGTAGCTACAATACCAAAAGAGAAAACATGACGTGCACTGGATTTAGGCACTGACACTTTCATTCATAGTCCCCCATTTTAGTGCCTGAAATTCACATTTGAAATAATTTTTTTTGTATGCAGGAATTTCCCATATTATAATAGCTAGATTTGCTGAAATCGATCATGTAAATGTGCAATCCCCGCAATCCCAAAGCAAGTTCCAGGCCCTGCCCCAAATTAGGTAAAACTCCAATTAACATAAAATTGAGGTACAGAATAAAAACCTCGAACAATAATACAGAGTTAAAAACATGCATTCAAACGCAACTCAAAAGCAACAAACATAAAAGCATTATTTTGGTAAATGCATTCCTAAAAGAAAAGGAAAAAATATGTCACAAGTCCTAAAACCACTGGGAAGCATGTTCTACTTTTTAATGGCTCTCAATGAAAAAGCAGATCTGAGCTCTTTTTTTAAGGTACTCTCCACTCTCCCTGAGCAGCCAAGCAGGAGGATTTGTTATTTGATCTGAACAAAGTGCTACAAATGTTTTCAGTGGTTGAGGTGTCATATTATGAAGTAATTTAAAGACAAGCTAGACATCTGAGAACAGAACTAAATTATTCAAAGTCAACATTTGATATTTAGGGACTTTATTGTGTTCCATGATACTTGAGTAACTTCTGATTCAGTACTTTTTAAAACGTGTTCTAAAGTACAGGGAGAGTACAGAGTGTCGTCTGCAGAGATGACATYGCCTGCAGCACTAAGCAGGATGAAATGAGGACTTATACTGTGGTGGCAGAGCGGGTTGTAAGATGGTTATTTGATGTCATTTATTGTTTTTTAAAAGTCCTACGGGCTCGGACATGTTAAATAAATTTGAAACTGAGATTTTGAAAGAATCTGTAAAACTTGAAAAAAATCTGTGAGATTGCTCTATACGTCAGTATACCTGCAAAATGAGGAAAACTCTGTGTAAATAACAGACAGTACAACTTGACATGTATGCTGTCAGTTTTGAATCAAGWAATGTTTCCACACAAGAAGCAAAACATTCAAAAAACTTCAAGAAAAAAAAATAACAAAGTTTAGTTACTTTCATTGATTTATTGAGATTACCATGCTTGGAAAGACCGAAAATCCACACCTGCAAAAACACACACATACATTTGTGTGTGTGTGTGTGTGTGTGTGTG